AACAAATGTTTAAACTCAATTATCTCGAAATGAGATAAATGTAAAAATGGACCCTTTTAATTGAAGACACCCCATATTGCAGAGTGAAATGACATAACAAATTTTAATGTAAAATATAATGCATGTTTGTTGAAGATGTCGAGAAGCCAAATCTAGTTATGAGAATGGTTTCAATAAACTCATTGAGGCAAGATATAGTTGTTATTTATTAGGTGTTTAATGTTATTGAAAGATAAAGAAATTGGTATTGAAAAGGATAAATCTATGAAGGAAGAAAATACTAATAGTAACCTTGAAGTAAATAGTTTATACAATTTTCAAATATATTTAAAGACCCATTAGTTGCTTAAATAAAGTTTTCTCAAACTTTGATCTCTCTGATATTTATATATATTAAATTTTTCTTTGTATTAGTATATTATTGTGAATATATCTTCACAGTATTGTCAGTAATATATATCCCAATATCTATATCATGAATATATTTTTATGATCATATTTATTTATTTATTATATTATATAATTATTACAACTATATCATATTACAGATATTTGAGAACAGTAAGTTTATATAATTAGCATATATATTTTTAAATATTCACCTATTGTTGTCCTTATTTTATATCTATATTATATTTTGTTTACTATTGCTAATCTAAACTTGGCTACTTACTAATGCTCTTCCAAAATTTTAATAATAACAATATCTTAAATTAGAAATAAGTTCATATTTAAACTAAAAGGATTAGAGATGAACTAAAATATGTAAAACTCTGTCTCTATGTATATCAAAATTATAAAAAAGATGCTTGTTTATTCTTTAAATAAAGCTTTAGACTCAATACCTTTATTATAGGAGTATTAAAAATTAATTCTCAATGATAAGCTTTAATTACTTAATAATATACAGATTATAATAAGAATTAGAACCTCATTTGTTGTATAAGTCTAAGTGTAGTATTTATTATTATTACTCTAATCATTAATATTCTTAGCAATCATATTACATTTATTATTGTTAGATTATCTTATAATTATTCTCTGATTTTATAAATTAATTATATCAGTTGCATTATAATTAAATAAATTATTGATTACTAGTAGATATAATTAAGTATTTGTCTCTAATTAACTACGTAATTTTACATGTCCAAGTTTATTACTATAATAAATTGTTACTACTCTGGTTCTAATATAAAGAATATATAAATTAACTATTGGAGTTAAATTGTGCTGATAGTTCTATAAGCTCTCCAAAAATAATAATAATATATAGTACCAATTGTTAGATTAAAAAAGAAATTTGTGTTAAAAATAGTACCAATTGCAAAAGATATAATTAAAAACAGTAGTTTAGTTTATTATATTTGTTGAAAATTGAGAATAATTAATTGAATTAGAACACTATATCTTATAATAATTCTAGACCTTTATTATAACTTAGCCATTCTAATTGCATCTATAATTTAACAATTATAAAGATTACAAATATTGCAGATCAATATTTCTTATTCTGAATTGAACACAATTTTGTATTCTAAATTCATATATAAAGACAAAAACCTTATTTTCTAGTTAGAAAATATTGAGAAAGTATTTGAAACCAACCTTGTAATTGAAGTTCACAAGATTTTTGTTATTGTACTCAAATTAAAGAAACTGCTACAACATAGTAGATAATTTAACAAAGTTAAAGTTTAGTGATTGATTAGTAGAATAATAAAGCAAATCCTCAACAAAATTTTTGTAAAAAATTTTTAAACAGGTTTGTTTTTTCAGAACTCAAGATTATATAATTCAATAAGTTGATTTACTAGAAGCAACTCCTGAAAGAAAAGGTTAATAAATATTATATTGAGGTAGAAGGCTTAGTTCAACCAGTAAAAATTAAAGAGTATTAATTTCTAGAGGTAGCAAAGATTCAAATATTTGTTAATAGGCTTCATTCAAAATTATTTATTGTGATATTTTCTCTATTTTTGACTTGCAAAATTATTTGAAAATGCTTACAAATATTATTTGTTCTATAATAATTTTAAAAAACCTATTTATAAATTATTATTTATCTATTTCTTTTCTAATATAGTTACTGTAAACTCTTTAATAGAAGAAAATAATTGTCAAACTATTGAGACATTAAATAAATTAACTCATGTTTTAAGTGAACTAATAATTCAAGACCCAAAACTACTTTGACCTCAATTACTTTTTCTAATTCAATGTCTATTATTTAGAAAGTTTCTGACTATTTATATTTTAGAGGCTTACACTCTTAAGCTGATAGATATCTTTTATTCAAGTTTAGTTGTAAAAATCTAAAAAAGTTAATTAAAAAAAGTAAAGACTCAAGCTTTAAAAGTGAAGCAAGAGTAAATGAAGTTAAAAGTACTGACCAAAAAAATTCAAGATTAGAATTAGTAAAGTAATAGAGTTTAGTTAAAATTATACTAGAAAAATAAAAGTGAATAAAACCAAATAGTATATATAAAATTAAAGAAAAAAGGTTAAAAAAGATTTGCTATTTATTGCTGCTTCTAAAACTTCTTATTCTATAATGTCAAATATAAGTGATCAAAAAGCTGAAATTATCTTTAGTTAATTAATTATTAAATATTAATCCAATTTTAGTTCAAGAATCATCAGAATTAGTAAAGACTCTTGTGCTAAAGGAAAATAATAAAGATAAGAAATTTAGTAAAAGTGATAACTATATAAGGTATATTATTATAATAAGAGTGTAGAAGTTGTAAAATTTGAATCTGTGTCTAGTTTGCAGATCCTTCTATATAATATTCATGTTTATGTACAATTCAAATGGCTAATAATAATATAATTATCTGACTTATTAACGTTAAAATTAAAATTATAATTTATTAAATTTTGAATAAAGTTTTCTTAGCAACCACTTTATTAACATTGATAATTTTTTTTATCTGAATTCTAAGTATATATAGAATTAAAATAAAAAATTTTTGTTGAATTTGATAAAGTAGTTATTGAGAAAACTTTGCCCAAAATTTAAAAAATTACAATTTTAACTTCAATTAATAAATCGACAACCATATTATCATCAGCCAATAGGATTGCAAACCGGGCACAGATTCAAATTTCGCAATTACCATTCTAAGAGCCTTGCAGTTGCGGTGCTTAATTACAAAACATATGATATTTGTATAGCCCTAGTCTATAAGTCACGACATTTGATTAATAATATATTAAGAATAATAATAATTTATGTTGAAATTTTTTATTTCTTTGGATACTGTAATATTTTATGAAATAAATATACACATATTATAAAACTTTGTTCATTTTGTCAAATTATGAAACCAAATATTACGTTTCAAATTAATAATAAATCATGTTTTGAGCATACAAGTCGTGCAAATAAAGCAAAAAATGGAAATGCGAGGATCGAATTTTAAACGATATTCGCAGGCAAAAAAAAAAATGCCATGAAATCTGGAAAGCTTGAATATGTATATAGATTATGAAAAACTTATGGATGTTGAAAGAGAAAGCAATATGTATATAGTATGCTAAAAGTATTACTTATACAGATTCAACCAGCCACGTATTGATCTTGTTTGTCATATCCTTACCGAAAAATTATTCCAATACATGCATTGGTTTCAATTACTTCTGCATGAACGAATATTACTATTGTGGGTAAAGAATTAAAAATATGCAAAAGTATTTAGCCGATTATCAAATTGGAAATATTCTTGCCCTTATTTTTTTTAAAAACAGGTACTTATTGTGCAAATATCTTGTTAATCCTCTTGCCAAACAAAAAATAACTTCGAAGTATTGAATCGAACTTTAAACCTATTCAAAATATGGTAGATGACATTAAAGATTTCGAACGAGTAAAAAAGTTTCCAAAACTTGGAATGGGCATAACAAAAATACCTTTTACTAATAGCATTAAATTCAAATTTAAAGCTTTATACTGAAATTTGAATGTGGATATAAATGTATTTTATACATTCGAATTGAATGTAATTTGACTTTAGCAATAATTAAATAAGTTCTAATAAGTTGAGTAAATATATAAAAAAAAACTTCAATTATTTCTTCAAGAAATCACAATTCTGTTATTCTTGCGCGCAGATTGAAATCTAAAAGGTGATTACATAACTGGTGGCATCAGTGAAGTGAGTTGTCGGTGAAATGAACAGTCTATGAAATGAATTTGTTTCTAAATTAATCTTCTGAAAAATAAATATATCAGTGAATTAAATATTTGTGAATTATGAAATAAGATGTCTACGATGTGATTGTTCACAAGTAAGCAGAACCGGTGTAAATATATAATTTATATCAATTATAAATAATAAGCTTTTAGAATTGCAAATTTGCAGAACTTAAGTATAGTTTTATTTTTGGGTTTAGCGCAATTTAAATTTGAGATTATAACGATTATATACATTTTGATATTATAAAGTGGGATTTTATTATTTAAAAGTCAGGGGCATAAATTAATGTAATTCTACAAATGTTGTGGTTAAGGAAGGGAAGTCTGATTTGCAAAATTATCACGTGACTGCCGATTTTATGGCACCACTAACCTATTTCCGATTTACTCTGTTAAATGCTATATGTATAAAAAAATTGAACAAAGACACGTAATTTAAGAGTTAAAGCTTTCGTCATCATATTTCACATTCATTAGTTAATAAGTGCCAAAGTTAATATATCCTTTTTATAAAGCAGCGTTGTATTTATATATTTCATTGATTTACTGTTTATCTTTTTATAATCAATCTTGGACAGAAGGCTTTGTAAAGTATCTAATTACTTGAAAAACTTCATAACTTGTGAATATGAGTGAACTACTCATGTTTGATGATAATTTAGAGTAGGATTTTGTTTTACATTTCAAAGTATAGTGGTCATCTATAAAGCGTAAATCGGGGCCTTCTCCGAAACTTGGACCATAATCCTTACTGCAATAAATTGCATAGTCGCTAGTATCTTCATTAATGCGTGAGATCTTTGCTCTTACGCGGCTTCTTAAAAAATCTAATTTAAATAAGAAACTGTCCGTTGTTTGTTTCCATACATTGTTTCCATTCCAGTCAAGTGGATTATAACCACCAACCAGTCCACTTGAATGTAAAGTTTTCGCTACAACAATTGTTGCCCCTTTGTTATCGCATTTTTGATGAAATACGTGAGCTGAAAGACCATCTAAGCTACTTCGATAAAGAAGTTTAAAAGAATATTGAGATCCTTTTGAGGTAATATCATCTGCAGATTCTTTATTTATCAATTTCGCCAACGTTAGTGCAGCCTGTTTATTGATTAATACCGAGTCGATTTTAAAATTGCCCCATCTAATTGGAGATGTGTAGTATAATGGTTTAGCATTTGAATCCAAATAACAACGTAGTACATCTTCAGTTAAATTGTCGGGAAGGAGATGCTTATATGCCCATACTTCAGGAATAAATTCCTGACGATCGAACTGATAAAATCTAATGTGTTTAATTAATTCGCGTAATGTCTCTTCTAATGTATTAATGTCTCCATTATTAGTGTCTTCACATATCATGTCACTTTCAAGCATTGTATGCTGAGCGATTCCCCATTTAACGAGTTTTTTCCAGATAATGCTTTCCTTCATATCAAGGTTATCACATTTAAGAATTACTTTTAGTGCATCTTCATCTAAAGAAGGTAATTCCACCGAATCAAATAGTAACTTGGGATTTTCGCAAATTCTCTCCAAATAAGCTTCTTTAATTTTATCGAATTGGTTATTATGGACAATAAAATGGAGCATTTTAATGGGACTTTGTTGTAAGAGTTTATGTCTATTTTTGATTAAAAAGTCTTGAATAAAGTCGAAAAGTCTTTGAATTAAAAGTTCATCGGCAGCAATTAAAAGCTCAAAGATTATTTCGACATCTTGGTTTTCCAATTTCACTATTCCACGATACAAAAACCTATTTAAATATGTACAATAAAAATTAGAATCTTAAAATGGATGTTTTAAAAATTTTAAAATGTTAATACATTACTTAAGAATCAATTTAAAAATTGACGCGTTTATATTAGGCTTTGTTAAAAGGAAATAATCATCTTTTCTTTCAGCCCATTTACCAGATAATGCACTACGAAAATAAGGTGATCTAGCACAAAGAACTACAGAATGAGCATAAATTTGTTCAGCGTTTGGTTCTTCGCCAGCAATGATAATTGTGTCATAATCTTCTTTTGCTTCATATAGGGTTTTAAAATCTTCAACTGGATCCTTAGAAAATGTTTTGGCCATTATGGTATCACAACAACGAATTAAGTAGATTAAAAGTCACGTCAGGGGTTTTTATCCATATTTGTTTGTTTATTTATTTGTTTGTTTATCAATTTCAAAATTTTAAATTTAGTATACCTTGAGCCATCACGTTTTTATTTTACCTAAAAGGAAATAGCCCAGAAAAAATATACTATCATCGCGTCAAAAGTAGTTGTCATCAACATAGAATAAGAAATTTGCTGTAACTAAGAAATATTGACTATTATTTTAAATGCTAATTACTAGGGTAATGCGTTGCATTATGTGTCCGGAGCACATGACGGTAATCGTATAACACAAACGCGTAACTATGTTTTTGTTAAAGTACAAATCTAGACACACGACGGGACAGACAAAAAATTTCCAATTTACATTTTTTCATAATATTATGCGATGTATCAAAAAATAATTTTTTACGTCTAAATGCATCAAAAACGTAATTTTTGTCTCACTCACTATAAAAATTAAGGGTCCCCGAAAATTAGATGCTATCTAATATAGAATAAATTAATCCCGTATTACGCGATTTATATATATCGCGTCTTGACTGTGATCGACAACGCCAGGGCGTAGGATCTATTTTACTGTCACATGATTTGCCGACGTCTATTAGCCAATTAAAATTCAGGATCAGGTGTAACGTAAAAAATTTCAAAACAAACGTTCGCTTTGCAAAAATCACATTTATCTCAAAATTTAGTCTAGTAAACCATCTTTAGAGTTCTAACAAAAAAATTTCCTTGTGCAATTTTGCTAATAATGCTATTCTTCTTAACCTTGATCTAAACTTTAACCCAAATATAAACGAAGTTTTTTAGCTCAACACATTTGTTTCTGATCATCACGTGTCAGTAAAATCGATACTACGCCCTCTGTGGAAAAATAAAATTGCGAAAATTTATTTGGGTATCAAGTAATGGTTGAATAAAATTTGAAATTATTTGAACTATTTCAAGCAAAAAAGCATTGTCGGCTAATCAAAAAATGAAATTACTGTGTGCAGTAAAATTGAACTTGCGATTCGATTGGCCGACCATGAGCCAAAATACTATCAACTACCTCTAGATCACTACCAAAATTTCAAGAACTCTATGTATATCAATTTGATTCATACAGTAAAACTAGCTCTTAGACCCGGGTGATGCCCGGGGTGCGTCTTAATTTTTTTATAGTTTTAAGTTTTTTTAAATTTTAGTTTATAGTTACAAATATTAGTTTAGATATATAATTATAAATCTTTTATATTGATAAAAATAGATTATTTATAATGTATATAGAAAGCATTTATTAAAAACATTTATTAAAATAAAAAATAATTATAAATGTTTAAGATATATATTATAAAATTATATATATAATTTATTGTTAAAGTACAATATAATAAATAATATTAAATCTTAAATTTAAACTCAAACTTAACTCTAAACCTACTCTAAATCTATTATAAACCTAACTCTAAACACTAATTTTAATTCTAATTTTAATTTCGAAAATTATATATCGCACCAGTGGTGTTCAACACCACATATGAAAATCGTGTAATATGTAGATCAAAATAATTTTTATCAAAATAAAAAATAAATTTTGATTAATATTAGGATTAGGATTTAGGCCTGAGATGGGGCAGGGCATAGCTTATACCCGAATTTTGCAAGGAATTTTTTTTGTTAGAGCCCCAAAGATAGTTTCATAGATGAATTTTTGAGTTATAAAGTATAGTGTGTTGAAACACCAGTGGTGTGATTTAACAATGCCATTTAATTTTATAGAAATATTTAATTTTAGATTTTTTGATCAAAATTTAAAATTAATCAAAATTAAATATCTTTTTTCTAAAATTTAAAAAATATAAAATAAGAATTTTAGTATTTATTGCCGGTGGTGATACCACCACTTCCTATTTCTTTTATCAACTTTAGAGATAGGGTGCAATTTTAGATCAAGGTTAGGGTTAGGTATAAAGGTTCAAATCTTTGTTAGGGTTAGGTTTTTGAGGGTCCTGAACATTTTTACTTAGTACCTTTGACATGTGTTAGCTAGTAGGTTTTTGAGATATAGTGTCCCCGGCGATATCGCCACTGGCAATAAATAGCAATATCCTAAAATAAAATATATTTATTTTATATAATTTTATATGTAAAACAAAATTACATAAAATATGGATAGATTTCATTAGTAAAATTTTGAAGATTATAAGTTTTTTTATATTTTTATTAATAAAAATATAAAAAAATTTATAATTTTCAAAAATTTACTAATAAAATCTACTTTATATTCTATGTAATTTTGTTTTATATATAAAATTATATTATTTTGGTATATTTAATTTTAGGGTTATATAATTTAGCGCATGTGCGTTGTAACGCACCCACCTGATCAACCAATCAGATTGTAAGATCAGGTGTAACGTGAGATCGAAAAAAATAGCGTTTTTTAAAGAAATCATCTGCAGCTCATAATTTTGCTTATGAAACCACCTTCCACATTCTAATAAAAAAAATTTCTTGCAAAATTTTGAGGTAAGTACTTCTTTGTTAATGCTTTATCCTAATCATACCATAGCGTACACCCTTACCCTAAACAAATATGTTACTAGTTTGTTTTGATTTCACGCTACATCTGATCTTATGGGGTGCGCTACAACGCATCCGCGCAAAATTATTAAATCCTTAATTTTATATTATTTAAAATTTAAAAAAAAAATTAATTTTGATTAATTTTAAATTTTGATCAAAAATTTAAAATTTAAAACTTTTTTATTAAAATTTAAATGAAGTTTGCTATTTATTACCACTAGTAATCATCACTGATGTATAATTAGCCAATCAATTTGCAAGATTAGATGCAATATGCAGATCAGTTTTGTGTAATAAAAACAAGAATTTTTTTAAAAAATCAATCATATCTTAAAAATTTGTTTATAAAACTACCTTTTCGGCTCTAACAAAAAAAAATTCCTTGCAAAATTTTACTATAGGTTTTGTTTAACTTTATTATCAATCCATTACCCCTTACTCTAATATCAAAACAAATAAACTTTTGTTTAAAAGTTTACATATTACGCCTAATTATATATTATAAATCACCAGTAATGATCACTAGTGGTGATTGGTAGTAATTTTCAATTTAAATATTATAAAGTATAATATACTATTATAATAAAATTTTATATATAAAACAAAATTAATTAGAGTTTAAAGATAAATTTTATTAGTAAATTTGAAAAATTATAAAAATTTGTATAATTTTATTAATCAAATTATAAAAAATCTTATAATTTTTATAATTTATTTAATAAATTCTACTTTTTTAATCTTTAAAAATAAGACTAGTATTTTTATTAGACTGAATTAGATCAAACTTTTAGTAAAATTTAAATTTAATTTGATTTTCAAATTAAAACTCAAACTTAAATTTTTTAAAATCAAGTTTAGTTTGGTTTAGTTTTAAACTTTTTAATTAAGTTTGAGTTTGATCAAAATTTGTTTTAAAAGTTTACAAACAGTTTGAAGTTTAAAATAAATATATATATTGTTATATACTAAGCAAGTTTACTTATTATACAAAAGTACTATTTATTAGTAAAATTTTAAGTAATTTTAATTTTATTAATAAAATTATATAAAATATTAAATTACTTAAAATTTTACTAAGGGCAGTATCATTTATCATCTGATTATTTTTTATCAGAAGTTTATCCCCCCTCTTAATATAAAAAAATCAGGTTCTTATATATAATTTTAATTTTTTTTACCCCTTCACTTCTAAAAAATCATCTGATTTTTGTCATGTTACTAATTAATAGTATTTTTGTATAATAAGTAAACTTTTTTTTTGTTTTTTTGATATTAAGGTGAGGCCTTGCTCATATCTTTATTAATAGTTTTTGTTATAGTAACTACAAAGAGTT